CCAAGCTTACTTTGAGGAGCTCCTGTCAATATGGACTTGAGGGTTTCACTCTCTGCTCTCCATGCAGTTTCTAAAGAATTTTCAGAACCAGCAGATCCAGATTGTGCCGTAGCTATTGAAACTGATTGACCAATCAATGCAACCCAAGGGATATCAGCTGTTTTTGGAGGACCCTGATTTAATAAGAGAGCTTGTACAGCAGCAAGTGCTTTTTGGTCTGAAGCAGCTTGATCTATTTTACTAATAACTCCAATGGTCCTGGTACCTATGAATATATGTTTTCGCCTATTTAGACAATTAACAATGAAAAAACTACCTAATAGAGAATAGAATCAAACAAATCCTCATAAATTCAACAAGTTTTACAAAACAATAATCCTAAAAAGAACCGTGCAAACAGTCTACCTTCTCCATCATATTCCTTTGCGTATCTTAGGGCTCGAGATGAAGCAATTTCGGGTGCTTGAGCTGCAGGTACAATAACTAGCAAAATGGCATCATTATGCTCGGCATATTCACTAACCTATGCAACGATCCCAATAAATAACATCAGAATCTCAAAGCTGTTCAACGATAACAAAAAGCAAGATGATTGGGAATCAATTTGTGAAATGTAGTACACCAGTTACCATTGACTCATCCATGATGCGTTGATCCAGCCCAGGTAAATCGATCAATTTAAGAGGTGGTGCTGGGAAGATAAGATGGTAGAAAGAATGTTAGTATTTTAGAACGTTTTGTTTGAAAGAAAAAAAAAATGTACAGCGCATATAACTGGAGCCTGGGGTCATCTGATATCATAACATATTAATTGCATGCAGCAACACGAAACTCAAGTTTTCACATGGCTACTGTAACTCAAGAACTATTTTCATCAAACAAACCTCATTCTGTGGCTACGTATGGATAATCCAAGAAGCCATAACAAGTTATGATGTCAGGCAATTCACCTTCTCAAAGCTTTATAATTCTATATAATCGCACAACCTGAAGATGGTAAGGTGACTAAAAATCATCAATCAACAACAAACCTGTACTCGTGCGCAGCTTCAAATAAATTTGATCTCGACTCTTGCCGGAGGAACCCTTACTGAGTCTATCCTGCAACGAGTGCCTCAAAGCACCTGCGGCAACGTAACGAAGGACGCATATATGTTCGTCAGTAAAAAAGAAGCAGATTGTACAGATCAGGCACTTCGGCGCTTGTAGTTTGAAAAAGAGAATTAGAACTGACTTGCGGAGACTTGCTGAGACTTGTTGTCAATCTGCAATATGATGGATTTGCTGCTCAACGAAGTGTCTCGCTGCAGATCAATGCATATAGGGGCCCGAGTAGCTCCGTTTTCACCAGTAGGCTGCAGAATAATACAAAATTCAACATTCAGTTTCACAGTTTCGCCTGCTTAACAGAGTAGGGTTTAAGAACGAGTTCAGAGTTGAAGTTACCAGAACGGGATGTCCAATCAAACTGTTGAGAGCAGCGGATTTACCAGCACCCTACAAAATCGGAATCACTGAGCAGTGAAGAAAGAGACTACGTACGAGAAGAGAAACGTGAGAAAACGGAGACTTACAACATTGCCGAGTGCAACGACGTTAAGAAAAGTGGACGGTCTTCGGGAATTGGAGGAGGAGTTGGATTCATCGACGTCCTCGTCGGCGAGAAGCGCCGACGCCTGGCGCATCGAATCGGCAAGCTCCGACAAGTCCTCGATCGCCGCCATCGATGAATCGGTCGATCAGCAAATTGTAAACGAAGAAGCTTAGCGGATGAATCGAAGGAACACGCTCTCGCCGTATAGGGATCGATCGGAATCGAACCCTAAATCAGAGCTTGGGAATCAGGATCTGGACCAAGGTGTGAATCAGATCTCTGAGTTTCTCTCTCTAGGACTCAACAAGTGGGGGTTTCGTCTTTACTATATTGAACTTCGATTCAGAAATTTCAAAAAGCACACGCTCTTTATCTCTCTTTCTCTTTGCGTTTTGAAATGGTTAGTTGTCCCAGTCGTCTTGTCCTGTCTTTTTATTTTGAATCCTGTTTTGTTTCAACCTAATTAACTTTTAATTCACCGCCCAACGTCTCTTCACCCCTACATATGGTTTGGTTCAATTTATCATTCTAGGATTTTGATATATTACCTATGATGGTTATAAGGAGAAGAAAAATAATTAAAATTAAATTATTTTTCTTTCATTCTTTCAGCTAATTTTTAAAAAATAATTTTGATAAAAAAATACATTCAGATTGTAAACTAAATATTTATCACATTCAACTACATTAACAATTTTGTTAGATATTTAAAGAATTAGTCAAGATATCCAATCTCCTCACGTATTAATCAAATCAAAATTAAATAAAGATAACTTATATTTGATTTCACGGTAATTATTTTCTGTTTCCTTATTCGGAGATGATAACTCAAAACACTTTTTTTAAAGTATTGCACAGTTTCACATTCAATTTCAAGTTGTTTTATTCTTTCGAGAATTTTGATTTAATACTTATTTAATTAATTTTTATTAATCATATTCGATATAGATTTTTTATTAATTAGACTAGTATAATTAGGTTTTTTAATTTAATTCAAAGCGTAATGGTTTTAGGATTTCACAATTATGACAAAATTAATATGCAAGTTATTTAGTTATACTTTCTTCTTTTGATGTGAATTCAATGGTATATTTATTTTCAACAATTATAATTTTGTGTTTTTTTATATAAAGATGAAATGACATGTAGAAAATGAAAAATAAAAAAATAAAGAAGATATAGATGAAGATGAATAAAGTTATCAGTTATTGTAAATTGCAATAACATACATTGTCATAACGATTTTAGGACAATGTTTTTACGTCGGTTTTTTTTGTTATACGAGCTTGATTTATAACTTTTAATTTTATAAAATTAAATTATTATATTTGTGAATATATTGATTTATAAAATAATATGTATTGAAATTAAATATTAATTTTATTTTCATAATTCACGTTATGTTGTAATAAAACATAATTTATTTTATAAAAGTATTTAATTCACCGTATGAGTTTGATTTTTTAATATTTTTACTTAAACAAAAATAGAACAAAAGCTTGTAATTAACTATGGATCTTATTTTAACTAATTCAAAATAGAGTTGGAAAATAATCTTGTTTTTTTTTTGTCACATTTTGTTCAGAAGAGTTTTCTTTTAAGCAAATATTGCACTGTAATTCAATTTAGTAATTCAAATTTTGAATGTGTCCATTTTTCACTAAAATGAACGTATTTTACTCAAATTATTTCTTTTTTTTTGGTCAGTTTGTCTAATTAACTATATATGAGTTGATAAATATAAAATTGCTTCTTATAATTGACTTGATTGTAATTTTATTTAAATAAATTATATTATAACAGTAGTATATGTTGAGATTGATGAAATTTATATAAAATTGAAGTCTTACAAATATAACACTTTTAATATTTATTTTTTAATAGAGATATCATTGTTTTGTTAACTATTTAAGTCATATATTAAGAATCAAGAAATATTGGGAAAAAAAATCTTAAATCTATTAACATGTACTAATGTGTGAGATGAATGGTGAAGTCAAAATTTATATTAATTATTATGTTATTATTTAGTAATACATACTTAATATACGTTTTCTTCTGAAAAAAAGTGATATTTCGTTTGTTAAATATCTTTTAATATATAAATTAACGTGTGATCTATGTAATAAATTTGGATTGTTTACTAATAATTAGTAATCAATTTTTTTATATTAAAAAAATATTTTTAATAATTTATCTTGTTTGTGTTAGAAATTTTATATCAATTAAAAATAAATCAATTTTGAATATTTATATATAAATATAAATCTTATTTTATAAATCAATTTTGTATAATTAAATTAAATTTAAAGTTAATTTTTTAAAATTATGAATTAGAGTTTATTCGAAGATTTGTATTTATTTAATAGGTTTAATCCTTTTCGACATCCCTATTTATGTACAAATAATTTTCTAAAGTGTATCAAAATGGTCCTTAATTTTGAAAATTGATATCAATTGAGTCCTTTCCGTTAAGTTGGCTGGACGGCGTTAAAAAAATTGATAAGTGGATGCTAAGATGACGAACGAACGCTCGTCCACGAACGAACGCTCGTCGACCACCGAACGAACGGTCGTCCAGTGTGGAACGAACGGTCGTCCAGCAGTAAGAGGTCGACGAGCGTTCGTTCTCTGGTGGACGAGCGTTCGTTCGCTGGTGGACGAGCGTTCGTTCGCTGGTGGACGAGCGTTCGTTCGTCATCTCAGCATCTACTCATCAATTTTTTTAACGCCGTCCAGCCAACTTAACGGAAAGGACTCAATTGATATCAATTTTCAAAATTAGGGACCATTTTGATACACTTTAAAAGGACTCAATTGATATCAATTTTCAAAATTAGGGACCATTTTGATACACTTTAAAAAACGAGGAGCCAATTGAGACATTCTTACATAAATAGGGATGTCGAAAAGGATTAAACCTATTTAATATATCATTTCATTTATTATTGAACCATTATTAAATCATCAAATTTTATAAAACTGAATTAGACTTAAAACCATATTTTAATAATTTAGCAGGTAAGAATATATACATAAGCTAACATTGTATTTTGAACTTCTTTTGTAATTATTTTGAACTTCTTTTGTGTTTATATATTTTCATTCTTGAAATTTATATTATCATTCTTTTATAATTACAAGCTTATTATATTATCATTCTTGAAATTTAACAAGTTGTGTTACAATATAAGAAAGTCAATTTGCTTGAGCTTTTTCTAATGTGAATAACTCAATTTCGTAAGTTAAAAACATATTTAACTCTAAAAATAAAATAAGTTAAAAGTTTAAATGTAGAAAGTAAATTATTAATTAATCATAAGAAATTATATAAGATTTTGTAAAGAAAGAAAATCGGTGAGAAAAGGTTAGCTAGGTTACGGAGGTTATTTATTTATTTATTTAGAGAATAAAAGAAGGAAGGAAAACTGAGAGTGGGTTGTGTTTGGTGCAAAGAAGCGAAGCGAGGGAGTGCGAGAGAAGTAGAGAATGTTCAAGAAGGCGGTGGAGGCGAAATCTCACCAGAGGCTCTCTGGTGCGGACAGAAAGAAGCTCAGACGAAGCATTAAGGACAAATTCCAGAGGGTTTCTGATTCCGACTTAGACGCCTTGCTTCCTCCCAAGGTAAATCAAATTGTTCGCTTCTTCTCATTTCGATGATTTCGTTTAACACACACCAGTAATTAACAGAGTGATTGAGCAGGCAGAGATTGCAGTGGCCAAGTTTCAAAACCGTGTTCATGTGTATGCTGTGGAGGGAGGCTTTCCGATGTTCTTCGACGTTGATGGTCGCGGCTCTGACATTTTTCCAACAGGTTTTCTTTCGTTACCTTTTCTCAGAATTGCGAATTCGAATGATAAATTGAAACTACATTCAGAATGATTTGGCGCAGTTTATGCACTGTGGATTGTCCCTGAGCTGCTGCCTGCGTTCGTGCTCAAGGGTGGTGAGGTGTCCCGGTTTGTTATCGGAGGCGCAGACTTGATGTTCCCAGGTATAACGGTGCCTCCCGAAGGTCTTCCTTCGTTTCGAGCAGGGGAGCCTTGGGCCGTCAAAGTACCCGGAAATCCTGCTCCTATTGCAGTATGTAACATGCATTGCTTCATTGCAGTGGCTTGAGTTTAATTTCCTTGCACTCATTTCTTTTTTATACTTTCAACTAATCACAAACCAATCATGCTGGCTTTTAAGGTTGTTATTTGAACATGTTTTCTGTGTGGATGACACGGAACCTTTACATTGTTGGTTCATATACTATATACTATATACTATTTCCTGTACTGTATTTGTTTCTGTCATCAGCATTTTATAGGTTTACGTGTAAACTTAACCTTCGTTTATTCTCCTGAAGGTTGGGAGTACCACCATGAGCAGCGATGAAGCATTGAAAGCTGGATTGCGTGGAAAGGCGCTAAGAATAACTCATTACTATCGTGATTTGCTTTGGCAAGTATAGCTAGAGAGAGCCTGGTGAGCTTTTTGTTCAGTTCAACTATTAAACTGAATCAATCTCGTTCACTGGATTTTCAGGGAATCTCCCGAAGGCTGTTATGTGCCTAATGCAGGTTTTTTCGAAGATGTTGTGTTTGAGGATCCTTCTTCGTTACAAGCTTCTTGTGATTCCGATTCGACTGATGTTACTGGTGAGACATCAACTGATCAACAGAACAACCAAAAAAGTGACGAAGTGGTGGAATCTCTGGATGTGAATGAGTTACAACATGATTCCGCCTCTGGATTGATATCACCGGATGATGGTGAAAATGATGCTGCAACTGGAGTAACTGAAGGCATGGCCGATTTGAAGTTACCGGATACTGCGTCTGGTAATGACCCTAACGACCAACAGACTCTATCAACTGCAGATATAGATTCCCTGTTAGATAAGTGCCTTCTTCAAGCTTTGCACACAACAGTGAAGGACAAAGACCTTCCATTGCCTGGAAGCACTCTATGGTGAGTTTTTCTCTCTTTGCCTCTTGGTTTACAAAGTTGAACCATTTGAAATAGATTGGCCAAAAAATCTTGTAAACAAGGAATTTTAGTTGACAATTCGTTGTGGTTTATAAAAAGATAGTTCGCTCAGTAACAACACTGGCACCAAAATATGATCTATGTGGAGTACACTTTACATCATTAGAACTTTGGTAGTGATTTTTCAAGATCTCGATTTTTATACTGAGCAGGGGACATTTAAGTTAAACTTGAAAAATTAGCTCTGGACAGAAGTGTTGAAAAATTAAGTTCCAAATTCCTGTTTGAAAAGATTTCAGCTAAAGGTTGAAAATGTCGGTGTTTGAAAAATAAATTTTTTCAATTGACTCGAAAGAACTAACTTTTCATTCAAGCAAGTTATTGTCATCCGAGGTTCGCCGAAAATATTAGGTGATTATTCAAGTGCACTGCCATTAATATTGAACATTTTTTTTGTCTTAAATTTATTTCAGTTCATATTAAACATACATTTCTAGTGTGTATTGAATCGAGAAGTCAGCCTTACCTTAGTGATCTAATAATTATTTGTTTTTGGGCGTTGCAGGTCGAACCATGTATTACCATGTAGACCTTCAGGAATTACTTTGGATATCAAGAAATCTTCCTACAAAAAGTTATCTAAGTGGTTACAATCAAAATCCACCTCCGGCTTGGTTTGTCATCTACTGCTTTTTTTTTTTACTTGGATTTGTAGAATACTAGTAGAAACTTGCTGATATTTACAGGAAAGTATTTAAATTGTTATTTGAATCATAATATTAGAATCTATAATATGTTAAAATAGGTTCCTGCCAGAATACATTTCCCTAATGTTCTGTTCTGTGAGGATACACCTATAAATGAAGCATTCTGACACTTTGTGGCCTCCTTAGCACGTTAGATATGTAGCCTCCTTAGCACGTTAGATGTGTAGCCTCTTAGCATTTTAGATATGTAGGTCAAGGAACTATGGGAAATAAAGGTTGGACAACATTTTTATGCTTTAGATTTCGTTTCATGAAGGATTGGAATGGAGATAAGACTCATGGTGATAGGAGATTGGGACCAGAGTACCGTTAGTTCCATGTGCAAAAGATTAATTAGATGTTTATATAAGAATCAGTATTTAAAAATTCATTACCTTGAGAAAAGACCCGGGGATTTGAAATTCATAATTTTCTTGTGGGTTGTAACTTGCTGGCCTTTTTGAAGTGTTTGGTGAATGGATTGCTTTTAGAAGGGATCATTGATATAGCTGCTAGAATAAACTCAAGCAATGATTCTATATCAGGATGTTTCTTAGGCAGAGCTAGTTACATGTCTATTTTATGTAATACATCATGATCAAATGACATTTTCAATTTTTAATGCATTTTTCCTTTTAATAATTTGTCTTGTGCTGTTTCTTCATTGATATATTCTGCAATGCTGTTTCTGGATTCTTTCTTCACATGCATGCACATTTTGTACAGATATCAGTGAAAGAAGATAAACACAAAAAGGAAGTCATACTGTTTACAGTAAACCGAAAGCATGCCGATTATTCATCCTTTAAGCCTGAAAAAATACGAGTTGAGAAAAGTGAGCAGCCTAGTGTTCAGTCTGCTAATGAAGTTCGTACGTCCAAAACTCTTGAAGTGGCCGAAATCTACAAGCCAAGTGTACATGTTAATGCCATATTTTCAGCTGTAGGAGCTGACCCAGGGAAACTTTTTAGTGCTTCTGAAGCTACCGATATTGTCTTCACATATGTTGAAAAAGAAAATCTTGTTAAACCAACAAATAAATCCATTGTGATTCTTGATGCACTGTTATGTGATTCACTGTACAAGGGGGCTATTAAAAAAGGAACAACTTATCCTACAGAAATTCACAAGAAGGATTTAGGATCAACATTTGTGAGCCGTATGCAGCCTCACCATGTTGTAACCAGAGGGAATGAATCTGTAGTTCGTAAAGGTGCACTTAAAACGATTCAGTTATTGACAGAACGACGGCAAGGCAACAAGAAGGTAACCAAACTCTCGGGTATGGAAAGTTTTCTTATAGATGCTGAAGCATTGGCGTCAGAACTGCAGAAGAAGTTTGCATGCAGTACCTCTGTCGCAGAACTGCCAGGTACTTATTGGTTGCATTAAAATTACAAGTTTTATTTTGGTTTGTGCTTCATTATCATCAAGAAATATGGGATTTATGAGCATGAGTGTCTGTATTACTAAATGTTGCTTTCCTTTATTTATATCCAATCTCATATTGTGTTGTCTGATTAATATATCTGCATTCATATAGAATATATACTTTGGTTTTATCTTCTATAGTTGATGGAATGCTGACGAAACCTGAGATTATAAAACTACGTTTGTGGTCTCTTAGGTGGAAAGGATAAGGTATCAAAATCTTGAGATTATTTGCACTTCAAAATCTTGCATCCTTTGCGTAAGCAAAGTAACTACTGGGTGAATTGACTGCGAGTGTATATGTTTCCATGTTTCTTTAATCAAATTTTTGGTTTGAAATTTGAATTGGCATGGGGAATATGGTCAGAGTCTCACTCTTGCAACATCCATGGTTCTGCCTTGTGAACTATGACTGTAGTTTATTACATTGTGTATCTGAAATTCTAAGGCATTTGTTTGCTTTTAGGTAAAAAAGGGCATGAAGTTTTGGTTCAAGGAGGAGTTATCGATGACTTAGCTAGGCATTTGATTGAACAATATGGAGTTCCAAAGAGATACATTGAAGTTCTTGATAAAACCAAGAGATGAGCTACCTACGATGCTTTTATTTAACGCTGCTGGGAGTACTTTACTTGGATGCCTGTAGATGTATGTTCTGTATGTTTCGCACCCTGGTTTATTGGGTTGATTGAGATTAGTATAAATGGAGCGAGCAAAGAATAGAAATGGACAAAACACAAATGTTCTTTCCGATTCAAAAAATTGCTGTTTTCAAGTTTATTGTGAAACTCTGAATGGAGGATGCCACCATTCAGATCAACGAACTTGATCAGTCGAGCCAACATTCACATTGTTTTCACTCTTCGATCTGTAAGCTATAGACTGAACTCTCCCTGTGGTCTTTGAGATTGGTACTATACTCTTAACTTTATAAAACCTTCACTTTAGTCTCTAATTTTCTAAAACATCATTACTTTTTAGTCTCACAGGTTTTTCAACTCAATAAAGTTTAAAATAAATGATGTTTGTAAAGTTTGAGGCTAAAATAAGGTGATTTTGATTTTTTTTATCTTCAATGTAGTCTTTTTATAATTTTAGAAATTTGTAATTTTGATCTATTATTAATTTTACATGTTTTTCTCTTTTGTTTTCATAATTACATTACTTAAATTATTTTTTACATTAAATGTAGTTTTAAAACAATGACTTAAGTTTTATAGAAATGAAAAAAAATAAAAATAAAGAATAACTATAAACTAATGTCTTTCTAACAAAATGCAACTTTTCTTTTCCTTTAATTTCTTTCACACGGAAAAGTACTAACATCAAAACTCTAGTTTGGAAATAACCCAACATATGGCACGTTTGTCTATTATTATGTTTGGTTTCTTTATGAAGCCCGATAAGTTGAAAAAGATAAAATCCCTCATATTAAATTATAAAAGTGAGGTTCGAATTTTATGATTGTTACTTTTGAATATCTCTAACTACCATCTTTAATTCGAGGCTTAATTTCACATGATTATACATATAGATATGATAAATTGTTAATTTATAAAATGCATAGTGATTTTTTTTCTATTTTTTTAATTGGTCTTTGAGTATAATTATTTTCTATATATATATAGTCAACTTTCTTATAATAATTGTATTTTTTAATATTTCATACATGAAACAAACAGAAAAGATAAATTAAATATATTTTACAAATTTTGTTTTTTTTATGGTTTTTAATTATAATATTTAATAATAACTTCTATTATTTTATTAAATTTTAAAAAATACGAATACCTTGTGAGTCGTTCTCGCGAATCCAGAAACATCCTTTAATTTTAAAAAATACATATAGATACCCTTTCCCTCCAAATCCAGAAACGCTTACATCGTATAACGGTTTTTGAATCACCGCGAAACTCGTTTCTCCGATTGTGGAAGAAGATGGAGGAGTACTTGCAGTACATGAAAACTCTCCGCTCTCAAATGAATGGTACCTGCGAATCGGAATTCATTCAATGTTACTTCATTCATTTATTTATTTATTTTAATCGAACTGAAAATGGAAACTGAAATTGAATTAGATGTGGAGGATGAAGCGGCGAAGATTTCCGTCGAAGAAGAAATGCAACTGACAAACGTACGCACTTTGGAAAGCGACATTGAATCAGGTCACCACTTTCCTTCAATTGCCTGTGGAGCGTTCATGATGTTACTATTATTTTATTTAGAGTTTAGTTTTCTATGAAGTGATTAATCATCATTGATATAATTTATCATATTTATAATATAAGTTTGTAACAAGAGGAAAATGTAAAATTCATGCATAATGTGAGCTGAAGTAGCTATGCTCTGTAACTGTGCAGCAAAATCGGGAATTACGCAACTCAAGGAAGACACTGAGAAGATGAGGGCCGCAAAGGGCGAGATATGCTCGAAGATATTGGAAAAACAGAAAAGGATTGCCTCTTTGGAGTTTGACACAATCAAACTCTCCCAGGTCTAATTCAATTGGTTCCATAATATAAGTTTTGGCATCAGGATTTTATCATTTTAAAACTGACCTCTGCGGCTTAACTGTGAACGTGTTGGAACAGTTTTTATTTATTTATAGTTGAGCTACCTTTTCCCACTACAGTGTAGAGCGTGATATGTTCGTTGTTAATGTCATAGTTTCTAAGTATGCATTTATGGTAGGAAAAAAGTCAATAAAGTAAAATGAATCAAGTTTCTTTTCTAAATGAAAGTTTGTTTATGTATTAGCTAATTTACCGTATCGGAGATCCTTCATCAATTATAAATATGATTAAATTATATAATATAAGTTGTTCTTGGAACCGATTTGTCCCGCAAGGTATGACCGAGATGGATCCAGTCCTATATCTCAGACTTACCAATCATCATGGCCGAGATGTATCGAACCCATCTTGGCCTAAATGTATTAGGCTGAACATAATACATAAGTAGATTTATTTTAAAGTTGAGTTAAAATTCATTTTTTAAGATGATATTTGGGCCATTCAAAGCATATCTTAGTCAATTTTCAATTTTGTTTGACCTACCATTTCACCCGTTATAAAATCTCTTGAGTTCAAAAAAGCAAAACTCAAATGTGATAGCTATATATACTTGCAACAATAAAGTAGAATTAACTTTAGCTTCAAAGTTGTCTTTTTTAGTAAGTCTTTTCTTAGGATTGGTTACGTAGAATTTGGGCCTTATTTCTTGTTTTGGTAAAGTCTTGAGCTGTGTTCATGGTATTCTTATCCTTGACTCTCTACCAACAGACTTTGGAGCTTATTCAGCAAGAGAGAGTTGGGTTATCTTCCAAACTCTCAGAGAAGAGGTAACTGAAGATACTTAGGGAGTAATCTTACACATTCGATGCATAGTCATCTAAATTTTTTTAACCTTTCAGAGCATACTATAGCAAGGTTGCAGAGGACATGAATGCCAAATTACAGAAGCAACAGGTTGACTTTCATTATTATTATTCTTTGTTATTTCTCGGTGACCTTTGGGGGGTAGGCTCAATGCATGAAAGCAATTGAACAATTAGCAACAATGTTGGCATCAAAGGGGTTATTATGTTTGGGAAATAATTCCATTTGAAATACATATAAGCGTTCTGCGTGGAAGAACGGTTTCCTGTTTTTAACTCAATTACTCTCGTGAACAGTTAGTCTATAAATATTTAGTGCCATCAATCTCTCTCCCTCTGTCTCTCTATCTCTCTCTCACACATGAATGAATTCTATCATAGATCACCAAACCACCTTTATATGTGGTCCACGATGCACCCACACCTCAAAGCCCAACACGTCCAACCCCTTAATTTCCATATTGTGAGCAAAATGGCCGACATCCCAAACCCAATATGCCCAACACACTGATCTTAGCACTACTCGAAGGGAAAATGGACGGAAGTTATACAATAAAGAAGTCATGACATAAGGAATGAGTCGTGCCATTAAGAAACTCTTCCCTTTTGACCTCAATGACACTACCACTACTGCACCCTTTTTTATTCAAATTACCGCCGTTCTTAGCTATTGCATTAGTAAGAGAGAGGTCGGGTGAAGAGTCTTTATCATCAGTTCCAAAGAAATGTCTCTCGTCTCCACAATGGTGGATAAAAATGTGAATAGATCAATCAATAAAATGATCCGGCTAACAAGTTCTGTAAGGAATCAATAAATAAGAAGTTTACTAAATATTATGTTGAGCTGCATTGGAAATCACAAGAGTGCACCGCTATAATTTCAGTAGAAAATTTTTCACTTTTAATTCTTTAATTATTGCTGGTTAGCACTTTTCCTAATGAAATCTTCCCATAAATATCGTTTATTTAATTCAGATTTAATTTTCAAAAATATTGAGTCCCTTGATATTAGTTGATATTTTCTTATGTTCAAATCCGGAGGGATTACTTTTTATTCACTGAGTAAATCTATTTTCCAGGATACTTGTCCCATTATTCTATCCTGTTATCAGCCATGGTTTCATTTTCATGCTAGTTCTTTCATTCAGTTAGTTGCAACTTTGTACTGAAAAGAAGTATCTGACAGGAATGGGTCAGTAGTACCCGGAAGATTAGCAGGGAACTGCAAAAGCATGACTTGGTATGCCCTTTTTTATTCTTACAAATAACTATAAATTTATCAGGACTACTCGTATATGTCCAAAAGTTCCTGTGAAAACATATGCCTTGGCATATGGTATGATTTTGTTTTATAAATTATTGACTGAAAGGAAGAATAAAGCAAAGAAAACTTCATCCCATTCTTAGGTTTTATTGATTTAATTATTTGATCTATATAATTTTCTGATGTCTTGTCACTTTCTTTTTGAGTTTATACAGGCCACCGGAAAGGTTGTGGGGGAAATAAGTAAAGCTGAAGGCATGGATCTATACTTTAGTGTGGTGTTTGACACAACTTTTAACGAAAAAGGACTCTTAAACTCCACCAAAACTTTCAGGAGAAAAGGAGATAAACATGTTCAGATAACTCGACACAAATTTAATAGCAACACATGATCAAACCAATGTTCTTGTACTTTAAGATGCATTAGAGTTATGACTGTCTATCACATTGTTGGACTGGTTCTAAGATAGCATGGCTTGGTTTAATTTCTCAAATTGAGAACCAGTTGAATTTTGTTCAGCAGTTTAAGCTTAAACTCAAACCACCCCATGAATACCTACTTATACTAAATCAATAATGATCGGGATACCTTGGTTTTGTCAAGGCTGAACATTGAATCGGATGTTTATTATTATTATTTTTTTGTTATTAAAATAACGGGCATTTTACAATCCATTTTTTAAAACTAAATTTGATGTCCAAGCTTTCGTTTCATAATTTGCAGGAAAGACTGGTGCGACTTGTAACCTTTTGGTGGATAACTTGGTAGACCACTTCTTTCATTAATATTTACTACATGGAGTTGGAATCTGCTAATTTATCTTTGTTTGACAGGGGAGTGTTGCAAGGACCAATTTAATCAATGAATTGGATTCTGCTAAAGCACGGCTTGAGGAGATTCTTACTCTGAAAGCCAAGGTTCTTACCGAGAACACCAAGGTTAGTTATCTGCATCCGATTTAGGCTGTGAAGTATAAATTACTCAAGCTTTCGGTTGTTAAATTTGTTTTTGCTGAGTGCAGAATATTTAATTCATTTTAGAAACTAAAATTCAATTTTAAATTAAACAAATAATTTCAATAAGATTTAAATTCTCCTGGTCCCTCCCAATTTTTGAAAATACGTTCCAGAATAACCTTCCTTCTTTCTCTTTCCTTTTTCCATTCCGTTTTCTACAGCTTCTACACTTTTTCCATTCCAGCCATATTTTTTATAATAATACATGACTGAATATGTACATGGAACATCCCATTTACCGTGATTAAGGTTGAACCCTGGCGTTTTAAGCATACGCTAATATTCTAATTTATAATATTCTAATTTAAAATGATTCAGTGTCTTCGAAGTTTGATCTGCTGAATTTTTGGAAAATTGATCTCGTTTATACAAATGGATAGGCAAGGGCACTGTTTCCTACATACTCTTCAATTAAAATATTGAGAGTTGCAAACCAAAAAAATTTCTTCAATTTAGTCTTTATTTCTCCGGTTTATAACTGCCTTCTACATGAAAATTGTGGTTCATTCTATTTAAATGGTGTTTCATCTAATCATGGATCAAGTTCTCCTTAACTGAATTGATATTCTTTTTCTAGTTAGCAAAAGTTATTTTCCCAAAATTACCATTTTTCAAGTTTTAACAAAGTTAATTAGTTGCAGCCATTTTCCCCTTGATAAGTTTGTTAAAATAGTCGTTGATTGATTTTTACAAACATAGGGATGCAAAAAATGACCCTGAAGCGTAATTAGGGGTCTAAAGATATTCTAGGATTTCTTTTCCAACCTTTAGTTCTTTCAAGAAAATAAGAATAGGAAGATTTTGACTTTTAATATGGTATTATGCTCACATTTTCTGTATACTTTATTTGCTTCTTACTATTATGTCTTTTTTGTCTTCAGATAAAACTGGCTATCGAGGATGTGAAGTGCAGAGAAAATGAGTTTAAGGTCTGTTGTTATTGTGCAAGAATTATTGACAAATGTGTGATTATCATAATTTCCACTCCTAGGATGGTCAAGTGAAAAATGATTTCCATTTTATTTATAAGTTTTTCCCAATACATTCATTTATATAAGATCTTTGATTGGTAAGCTGTTTTCTTTTCTTCTCTTATTGAGACAGGTAATAAATTTGTGGCTTATTATCAACGATTTTGTAAATTATTTTATTTAATTCTAATGAACGAGCTACGCTAGCCGGAGCTGAAAGCAGCAGGTTTAACTGCTCTTGAAGAGGAATATAAAGCTCTTTTGTCAGACAAAGCTGGAGAAACTGAATACTTGCAATCTCTAGAGAATCAAGTTGAGAAACTTAAGGTAAGATAAGTTTAATCCACATAAATTGTTTACGAGGTACTTAAATAGTCATCTGGAAGAATCATGACTTCAAATAGAATAATCCAGTGACAATATCCAATACCATTATCTTAATTTCCCTTGCACTCATGGAGATGCGCCTCTGATTTTACAGGAGATTCGTCACGTGGTAAAATGTGCTTGTGGAGAGGAATACAACGTCGCTTTAAATAAGTAATATTTTAAGAGAACATGAAACTTGAGGAGGCTGTGAATTTAGTTGCTCACGTTGATCTTGATACGACTGTACATCATTTTGGAAAAGAAATTGACTGAATGGTTTATGATTGTATTTTCCTTGATATATTAATATGCAAAACTTTTGATTGATTTCTAGGCTGTTGTACTAGGGTTTACAGTCATTCAATCTAAAAAGAATGTTTGAGGGAAACAAATTCAATAGACAAGGCTGAGTAATCACAGTGCATGCAGAAGCAATCACTTAATATTCAGATTCACTGTAGGAGATGGATTTTGGAGGCATGATACTGCTTCTTGTGTTTTGACACGATATCAGCATGTACAGGAAACATGCACCAATAATGGAGCAACTTGTACTGAGACAAGACAACCCGCCCAATCGACATCACTAAAGTCTAAAAGAAAGATAGGCAGAAGATCGGGATGGAAAAATAATGTTAGAGAGAACCAAGTCAATATCACATGATGTGGACAGGGGAGTAATAGCCAAATGTAAATGCCATGAAGACTGCACAAACTGATAACCTGCTAATAAAAAAGGTGATATGAGGCCAAGAAATAAGTGACCATCAACTATCGGCACAATCAAAGATTAGAAAAAGAAGGAGATTGCCCTCCTAACCAAGGTGATTTGAGTTTGATACCTAACATCCACTTCTGGAGGGGTATCAGCAAATGAAGGAATTCTGAAGATCAGCCAAAAAATACATAAACTAATTAATTTCAACCATACAAAACTGCATATTTTTTGGTTAAATTTTATTTTTAGTCCTTTAATTTATTTTTATGTTTAGTTTGAACCTTTAAAATTTAAATAGTTTAGTTTAATCCGAATTAAACTTCGTAAGAATATTTTATTCAACAAGAAAACGTACATAACTTTTCCCAACAATGCAGCAAACACACTGAACCTAGAAAAGCAACATAAGCTGACCCATTTAAGCATTTTATGCAAATATGTTGTCCTTTTTCTCTTGCTGGTCAATGGTATCAGAAAGAGCTATTCCTTTGGTCTCAGGCAAACAGACCAAAGTCAAACAGGATGACATTATAACTACTCCAAACACGCCATAAGAGAAATTTTCATTCTTCCTCCCCGCAGATATAAGAAATGGACTGAATATGTTACCAAACACAACAGCTTGCCTCACCAACGAGGTCGCGGTGTTCCGTACACTCGTGGGAAACACCTCTATGACATAAATGAGAAACACATTATAAGCAGTGACATCACAGAAAAATGCAATCAATGATATCCCCACTTTGGCCACTTTGATGCCATTGCTAACCACTGCACACAATATGCAGCATATCCCACTAGCTACTGAGAATGCAAGAATCGATGGCTTTCTTCTGCAGTTTTCCAAGAAGTATGTGGCCACACAAGAGGGTATTTCCATGAAGGCATTGAACACAACACCCCAGTAAATGTCGAATCCCAAGTTCCCCACGGCCAAAGGCATGCCAAAATACACCATGCCAATCCCAACACCAAGCACCATCATTGCCACCACCCGTTTGCCAACCCAACTTCTCTCAAACAACTCTGCTATTGATGAGTGCAGTTCCAAAATTGACTTTTGTTTAACAGCACGAACTCTTAGTAGGCCTGCAGTTAGATTAGAGCCATTTTCTACTGCAGAATCAGAAATTCCTGTAAGCATTGCCATGGCTTCTTGCTCTCGACCTTGCATCAGAAGCCACCTCGGAGACTCGGCAACAAAGAGGTAAGCAATTACAGAATAACAAACAGCAGGAACGGACGTCCACACGTAAAGAAATTTCCATGAGGAATTTCTGTTCAAGTAAGCTATTCCAGGCAAGGTCATATACCCCAAAGTGAAGCAGAAATATTCAACAACACCCACAGTAAACCTCCACTCTGTGCTCACTTTCTCCGTCAGTAACACCAGAACACACGTCCCAATGGAAGAACGCCAAAAGCCAATGAGGAACTTAAAACAGGAGTAGGTCCAAACATTGGTTGAGAAGACAGTGGTAGCAGAAGCTAAGGACATACAGAAACAGGAGAGAACAAGGAGGTTCTTTCTTCCGAGAGATGTGTCAGCCAAGGTGGCAAGAACAAAGGAACCAAGAAGGCAACCTAGGTAGAAGGAGGATTGGGGTAAACCTGTGATGAAGCTGCTGGCGCATTCAAGGCCAAACTGTGATACGATTGTCTTAGAAGAGGGTCCATCCCATGCCCATGATGACTTTGGGAGCTTACAGAGATCGGAATGTGATGTGCATGTTGTGGGGTCTGTGCAGTGCCAAGTGGGGTACTCGTCAGAGAAGATGGCGATGAAGGATTGCTGTGAATCGAAGTACATAGCGATGGACACAAGGATGCATTGAATCATCCCCGACCACCCAAATCTTCGCAAACCATTTTCTATCATTTCCTCCGAATACCGAATATTGTTTTCCTGCACAACAGAATCAGAGATTGTCAAAACTGGAACTGAATCCTCCATCTCTCTTGCTATTCCTCCAAGCTATGGTGGATGCGGAAGCTATATAGAAATGAGTGAAGGTGAAGTTGTGTTCGGGTACTCTCCAAAGAAGTTGGCCAACTTTCTCAATAGAAGTTCGCTGACTCAAGAGAAAGTGGCTAGAGAATAAGTAACTTCAGAGAAAAATGTCTTGCCAAGCAAGCGCAAAAACCGATGTATCATTATTATTGAAGACCAAAGCGAGCAAAGAGTATGAAAACATTTTTTTTTACGATTCATCTAAAATTATTTTATAATAATAATAATTATAAATACTAACATTAATCAATCATACCACATAAATAACGTTAAATTATTAAAATATCATTATAACATTAAAATATTGTTAAAAAATTATTATTAAAATATCATTATTCTTTCCTTTAATGTCAACCTTAACTACAAACAAACTTACATTATTATTCTAGACTAAACAAAATTTTAAATTATTTTGGCCATTATGTAAGATTAAAAAAAAAGACCTACTTTACTGATAACAAGCCTGTCACCTTTAACCATTTCACATTTCATCCTATGACTTCACATTTAAAAAGTAGTTTTGGATTTTTTTTTTCGATAGATATATCGGAATTTATTCAAAGAAATATCTTATAACAAATTTCAAAATTTTATTAAAACACAAAAATTGAGATATAGGATTTTTTGAATTAAAAAGGATAGTTTTAATTTTTTCCTTTTAAAAAGTGAAAGTATAGAAGAAAATGATTAAAGAAGAAATAACTAACATAGATCATTGACCCAAAATTATGGATCACCATAGATGAAGTTCACTTTTTTTATATAATATTGTCAAGTAATCTAGAGGTGTTAATGATATTTTCAATGTTTTAAATAATTTTATTATATTTTTAAATAGGAAATAACGATATCTATGCTGTGAATTAATAGAAGTGATCATAATAAGAATTATTCATTTAAATTTAACTTGGAAACGTGAATATTTGCAACAGATTGAGAAATACACATGAAATTTAAAATAGAATTAAGTTTTTTTTAATGAGATTGAAGAATCAACTTTATTCCCAAAGTGCCCCATAACAACCTGTTTTTATAACTAAGGAGTTGTATATTTTTCTAAACCATTGATATATAGTATCAGGTGTCCATAGATTTCTAAACTATTTATAATTAATGATTTTTCTAACAATCTTATCAGTAATTAATATTTTCCTAAACCATTATAATTAATTTTTATATCACACGGAAAATAATATTTTAACGTCTAAAAATAACTCTTTCATAATCTCCTCTTTAAAGTAATATGATAATTCAAACAAAATTAATTGTAAAGAATATATATATATAGTATTAGGTGTTTATAGTTTTCTAAACCATTGTTATTATATGCTTTTTTAAACAATCGTAATTAATACTTTCTTAAACCATCATAATTAATTTTTATCTCACACCGAAAATAATATTTTAACGTTTAAAAATAACTCTTTCATAATCTCCTCTTAAAGGTAATATGATAATTCAAACAAAATTAATTGTAAAGAATATATATATATAGTATTAGGTGTTTATAGTTTTCTAAACCATTGTTATTATATGCTTTTTTAAACAATCGTAATTAATACTTTCTTAAACCATCATAATTAATTTTTATCTCACACCGAAAATAATATTTTAACGTCTAAAAATAGCTCTTTCATAATCTCCTCTTAAAGATAATATTATAATTCAAACAAAATTAATTGTAAAAAATATATATCTAGTATAAGGTGTCCATAGTTTCCTAAAGAATTAATAGTTAATGCTTTTTTTAACAATCTTACCGGTAATTAATATTTTCTTAAACAATCATAGCTAATTTTTATCTCACACGGAAAATAATCTTTTAACGTCTAAAAATAGTTCTTTCATAATCTTCTCTTAAAGGTAATATGATAATTCAAACAAAATTAATTGTAAAAAATATATATATAGTATTAGGTGTTTATAGTTTTCTAAACCATTGTTATTATATGCTTTTTTAAACAATCGTAATTAATACTTTCTTA